ATCGCATTCTAATCCCTTGGGGTACTTGCCAAAAACTTTTTGTTGAGATCTTGTCTGTTTGGAATGGATGTCCGAGAGGTGCAAAACGAAATGGGACCATGCCTAGTTCTTCGTTCACAAAATTAGATTGATAAAGTGCGAAAAACGGGTTTTAGGCGTCCGGCCCATCGATGGCCTATGAAAACGTTGGGATTTACAGTGGACACGCAATAAGATATTACCGTTTTCCAGTCCCCAGGTTAAAATATACGAAAGCTCAAGGCATTTCAGCAGTTTTTCTGGCTCCGAGTCTGTTAAACAGCTCTCCATATTAGTCCAGTTCCTAACCGTATCTTCAAATTTATTTCCGCCTTAGTGTCTTCTCTTTCTACTCTCGTACCCAAACACGGCAGAACGCTGTCGCAGAATAAGCTGCTGTCGTCTCTGTAAGGTCGCCTATTGCTGCGTGGTTCGACCTAGGGCCTTTCGTGGGATATTTGCGCGATATAGGCCGCCAATTGCCCACAAGAGCTGGGCGGACAGAGGGGGCCATAAAACTGTCTTGTTTTGATAAAACCTGGTGGTGAACAGAAATGGGGGAGTCGAAATTACCTTCTCCTTTCTCTCACTTCACCTTTTTTTAGAAGATACTATTGACCATAAAAAGTGATTTTGCAAAACTTTCATACTAGCTTCTGGATTGAAACGCCAATTATTGCAACTAGGGGCCTAATTCATAGTGTGAATGTGATTATGCGCCCGTATACACTGTCAAAAATTTTACAATAAAATACCAAAAAACTTACGGAGTGCCCTGTGTCTTTCTGTAAGGGCAATCACTCCTTTAATTTTCTGATGATTAGTTTTTGACAGTGTTTTCTCGCCGGGGCTTTGAGAGGCGCGGCATGGCGAGGCATGGCGAGGGAAATCGTATGATTGAGAGTGGTCCCGTAGCGTACAACGCAAGACGGCGTTCACGAGAGCCCGGATCCAGGGTTGTTCTTCGTCTGGGAAACCAACTGGTCTTTGGTCATCACAATAAACTGGGAAGGGGTGATCGCGAACACGTAGTCATTAAACTTGGTAACTCGCAGAGAGAGAGGTTAATTAGCAATACTTAAGATTTCGTGTATCTATGCCTACGGGCAAGCACCGATTTCTCTATAAATATTTATCTTATGTCTACACTACTCTTTCTACTTCATAGAACTGCACGGAAAAAAATTCACGTTTCACTATACACATACGCAGTGTCTTAACGCTGCTCGCACTTAAATTACTACCTTTAAAATTATTTTAATGACTTTAGCATTGTAGCGAGCTTAGGTTTCTAAGCCAGTTTTTAGTAATGAGTGAATATTATGAATGCATTTTTTCTCTTTTCATAGGATTAAGGTACTACAGGGTTGACACCCAGAATATTCTTGCCTTAAAATTACTTCATACGAGAGTTCTCTACTACTACAGTTAAAAGCACACTTTACTTCTTAACACACTATATTTTAATTCATTATTTAATACTTTTAATCAGCAGTTTTGTATTTACTCTCCTCTATATTTTTTACTTTGTATCGAGTTATTGTCTTGTCTTATTTGGAGATATGTGTAGTTTTGTATGCAGAAATCAGAAAATTGGGGAAGATTTTCTGATTTCAAAGTACTTTGTAGTTTTATAAGACCTTTTAATATGCGATTTCCTCCTGCTCTGTGTGCTCTGAGCATTCCGGCGTTCTCCGCTCGCTCTTGCGGTGAGTCTGACCCGGAATGCAGGATGCACTGACCTTGTGTGACCAGAGTCACAATTCGTCACTCTTGCGAATTTGTGAACGCTCTTCTCGCTACTTTTGTGATACCATCATAGAGACGAACACAGTGGTGACCTCATAGTTTGTTACCTTCTTTCTGCTCAATCTTTGTGCGTGCCCTGCTGGCCCGCCGGCCCTGTGCGAACAGCATGCTAGTGTGAATGTGTAAGCGCTTGCGCGTGAGAGTGAAAGAGAAAGAGAGAACGTGGCTAGTCAAATCCTTTATCTTATAAGTCTAGTATTTAGACCTTTCTATGCCCTGAACTTCGCTACTGTTCCATCATGTTTTTAAAACTGATCTCTTGTAAACAGTACTTTAGGTATAAATAATCCATCACATCTACCATTACATCTATTATTGTACTTCTGAAATTTAATGTTTCTATCATGTACTTCTTCCATACCTAAGAATTATTTTCCTATCTTAGCTCCCTAGTTCTGCTAGAATTTTTTTCTTTTTACTGCCGATGCTCTTTAGACAGAAACGAAACGTAACACTTCAAAGTGAAACAATTTTCCCTGTCGAACTTGAAATATTGGGGAAGATATTCGGGTCCGTATCACGGAAAATTTTAACAAATATGTGTTGATTGACTAAACTATTCCTATTGCGTCTGTTGGTTAAACAAGGCGATAAATATACCTTACTGACTTTAGCTTTCGCTTACCACGCAGTTCTTCTGAAGACATATCCTAATTGCCCGACTTTGCACCCAACTCTTAGCTTATTGGAGGTTCCACTCGGACAGAGTGAAAATCTACATGTGTAGAATTAGCCAGGCGTCGCAACCAACTATTGTTTTTAATAATAATAAAAATAATAATACTCTTTCGCTATCAGAAGTGAACATTCTTTTCGCATGACTCACCCTTTCCTCTCTGCAGTCACAAAGCGGCTGTTGGTAGCAGCCTTCCCAAAGACTTGATAGGCCGGTCGCAGCTGGGCTCACATCATCTGGATATCCAGGTTGCGGCCCTCCACGTCGGCCTGCAGCTGCTCTAGGCGGGCGGGCGTGAGCTGCTCCCAGCTGCTGAGGGTGTACAGGGTCTTCAGCTGCGGGCATTCCAGCATCCGCTGGACGGCGCGCTCTCCCAGGAATGGAGCCGAGTCCACGCTATGGCAACAAAAAATGATACAGTGAACGTAACAACGGCCTGCAGGACACACACTTTCCTGAAGTTGGCTTTTCAGAATACTATGCGGCTGAAAGGCTCCGTCTAAGTTTGTGCTACCGTACCGCATTGCGTGCGCTTGGGCGGGTTGCCTACTCGCTCACCAACAGGCGCCCAGACGGCACCCATCTCGCGCTACCGTGCTAGTAAAGGTACCCGAGTACCTGTACTGAGAGAAATGTTTCGTCGCAGACATCAGAAATTGTTCGATCAGTCGGATTAGTCATGGTCATTAAAATTTTAGTCGCAGCAACTAAACTTTTGGTTACAGCAACCAAACTTTTGGTTACAGCAACTAAAATTTTGATGCCTATGTCTAAACCAGACTGATTGAACAAAATTTGGTCGTGGGTATCAAAATTTTGATGGCTGCAACCTGCAACGAAACATTTCTCTCAGTCTGGCATAGACACGGCCGGACTTCCCTTCCCTACCTGAAATCCCTCAGCTGTTCCAGGGGGTTGTCACGCAGAGCCTCCAGAAGTGCGTCCTCACTCATACTCATCCGCTTCGCCCCAGGGTCCCAATGGCAGAGGCACGCCTCCTGCGGCACACAGAGACCGTGACAATCAAAGGGTGAATGAGGGGCGAGGCCGGGCCGGGTGTACTATGACTACGCTCGAGATCGAGACTACGCTGATGGCTACCTACCTCCAGAGCAAATCCACGACTCAGGATCATGAGCTCAGCATCCGGCAGGAGGTCCACGACGTACAGCTTCCGCACTCTGCTGAAGGCGTCCTAGAGGGTGGATGTGAAGTCTCATGAGGCGAGGTAGCCCACCTCAGGGGTTTCAGGGACTTTTGTCGGCTAGCGGAGAAGCTTTGGCAAAGCCAATCACAGTTCTCAAAACCTCTGAGGCGGGACGCTTCTCCTGGAGAGTCAATGCCTCACCACAAATCCAACAAGAGTGAGACGACAAGTAGTGGAAATACCTCCGGCAAGCGCTGGTCCGGGGCTGGGGCGCGGAGGAAGCGTGGGCTCGAGCTGGGCGGCGACGAGGACAGCACGAGCTCCTCCAGGCGGGGCAGTGTGTGCCCGATGGCCCACACATCCCACGCCGACAGAGGGGTCCACCGCAGCTTGAGGATCGTCACGCTGTCCAGCGGTGGGGGCAGCGGCGGCGGTGGCCGGGGGGTCGGGGGCGCGGGCTGCCTGTGGACGAGGGCGTTGGGGTGTCGCCTTCAGCGGATCAGGCGGTGCTACAGCCCTCCAGTGCCAGGGAGTCGCCTGTTTACCTGACGTCAGCTGAGGACGAGCTCCACTCCGTGCTGTCGGTCGTCCCGTAGAGCTCCTCTGTGTAAAGGCGGGCCAAAGGTGTGAATACCGGCACTGACCAGCAAGCTCGTTCAGTCGAAAAGGCACTCTAAATGCATTACAGAGAGCACTTACCTGGCCAGTCGAGCAGCTCAACCGCTACATCATTGATCCGCCCATCGTCTGGACAGACCATGTGTATGCACTTGAGGTTGGGCGCCGCGCTCGCGATGGCGGTCAGGTTTGGAATCCGGCCTGAGAGACAAAGATCCACGCCTCCCTCAGAGTGCGCCTGGGCCGCACGGGGCGGTCGGGTCGGCTTCGAGGCAGGGGCCACTTACAGTAGTCGCCGCCCTCCTCCAGCCGGATGTAGAACTCCTCGAGGCGCGGGCAGTGCTCGGCCAGGATGTCGAGGGTCGGCGCCCGGTCGCTCCTGAAGGCGCGCATCTCCAGCTCCTCCCTCCTGCTGATCGGCTGCGCGGTCTGGTCCGCGCCGAGCTCCTGCCCGTCCACCGCCTCCGTGCCGCGCGCCACCGCGGCGATGGCGCGGCCCAGGTCGGGGATCTCGCCCAGGTCGCGCAGCCACGCCAGGTCGCGCAGGGCGCGCTCGGCGCCCAACAGCGACACGGAGGTGGACGTCAGCTGGCGCGAGCGGAGAGTCGAGCAGCAGTGGCAAAAGGGGTGATGGAGGCACCTACGTGAATCGTGGCGCTCACCTTCAGCACCTTGAGGTTGGCACAGGAAGACAGCGCGGCCACACCCTTGTCCGTCACTGCCCTGCTATTGGACACGTCCAGGTCCTCCAGGGTGTCCGGGCAGGCCTGCGCCAGGACGCGCAGCACGTTGTCCGAGGCGCTCTGGCCGAGCGACACGACGCTCAGGCGGTGCATGTGGTGCAGTGCGCGCGCCAGCGGGTACAGCACCGCGTTGGACAAGGCGCAGCCCCGACCGCCCGTAAGCCGCAGCGTCTCCAAGCTCTGCAGCTGCGCAGACTCCACGCCGGTAAGCAGAAGGTAGGCGGCCAGGCTGCGGTCTTCCCTTCCCACCCCAGTGCGTTCATCTCACCTTGGGCAGCTGCGCGACCACGGCGGTGGTGGTGGCGGCGCTCATCTCCAACGTGTCGATCTTAGTGGTGTTCTCGGGGAGGCAGGCCGTGGCCACGAGCAGCAGGGCGCGTGCCACGTCCTCGTCCACCGGGGTTGGCATCCCCGCCAGGCCAGCGATGTCCGCGAGGATGTCACCCGGTCCTCGGCGCTGGGGAACGTCGGGGTCGTCCGACGGTAGGGACTGTGTTGTTGGACAAGAGGTGAGTGTCCGTTACACGCGAGAGGGCGAGCGACGGCAACGGCTATGTCACACTGACCGGGAACCAGCCGGTGCCCCAGCTCGCGAAGGCCATGAAGACATCGCTGGTCGCCCTCTCCAGCACGTCGTACACGAGGGTCTTGTCCACCGCAGCCAGGGTGGCGTGACTCAGTCGGGACGCCGCCGCTTCGGGCAGCCGCCGCATTGCCACCTTTTAGAACAAGGGACGCTCCGCACTAGCACCAAGAGGCACTCACTCCTAATCACTATTATTGACAAATTACGCGGCGCAGGGACGCGTGCGGCACTTCTGCGCCCGTCCGAACCTACGTGCAACTTGAACATGACGGCGGTGTGCATGGGGTCGCCCGGCGTCGCCACAAGACCTTCCCCGGCTTCCGTGACCATGTCGATGAGTTGCTGCTCGGCCAGCAGCGCCATGGGGATCGGCTGTCGTAGGGGCGGCATGGTGGGACGGACGAAACGTAGACACCCTCAGCGACCTCACCCGCACAGCAGCGCACCACGCTCCATCCGCATTCGCTCAGGAGGTAATAGTCTTTCGATCCACGTGTGGAAGCGTTCAACCCGGTAGGGTTAGGTGGGTCCGAGCCGCTACCGACGCTACACTCCCCCCTCTCTGTCATGGTGCCGGTGTTCACTACTGCCACTACCACCGCCCCACCATCGCGACAACAACAGAACAACAGCCGACCGACCGACCGAAAGGGGTTTGTTTTCGTGTTCTTGGAGGGCGCATGTGGTGTGGTGGGGGTAGGTGGGGTAGGTGTCGTAGGTGTGAGTAATAAAGCATTCCGGTAAATGCAGAAGAATGCGAGGAAGAAGAAAACGGAAACCACTATGCTTTTAGATGAGACTTCCGTTTTTTTGTTCCCTGCATTCTTCTGCATTTCAGCTTTACCGGAATGCTTTATTGTGTAGCTGCTGCCAAGAACAATATTGTTCTTGCTGCAGACTGCTGCAGGTGACTTTGCACTTAGCCACCCCGCTGTGTAATACGGAGTGGTCCACCGACCCTACCCTCCTTCCCTTAGTTGCTTACACTGTACAACGGGTTGCATACTCCCGCGGAGCCGTAAGGTAGCAACGGTAGGCAAGCCCGCACACACGCGGTCCACGCGGTACAGTAATCAAAACAAAATAAAGAAAGGGGGCTGTGCGGACCATCCTGTATAAAGTACTGTGGACAATTTTCGTACAATTCTCCTCACGAATACCTTGCTTTATATTTAAAATACAGGGTAAAATAAAATAATACGAATCCCACATATCAATTTACATGGTCTATTATAATTGTCTTATGAACAGTTGCTTAATAAACTACAGAATCTACACTTAAGAACAGTACCACAATGAGAGGATATCACAGTTAAAATGTAGTTGGGCACCTATTTACAATTCCTATTGAAATAAAATTTTGAAAAATCTTTCAAAGAATCTTATCACAGTTTCAAAATGATTGACATATCAGTTGCTTCAAAAAGTGCATTTTTAAATAAAAATGGCAGAATGGCACTGAAGGTGCCCCCACAATGCGGTGCGCCTGACCATGTGCCATGTGATATTAGGGTCTAGCACCCGGGCGTTCACAATGCACGTGATTAATGACCCCCTGGGACTCAACGTGTTAAGGGGAAGTGGGTCAACCATCCTTAAAATCTTGATAATTCAGTTTAGAACTTTAAGGAAATACATGGGAGCTAACAGAACCAACAGATGGACAAAGATAGCTATGGCCCATCAAGTAATATGTATCAGATCAGATCAGGTCAATTTTACATACCACCCTGAATGCTAATGGCTAAAACATCTGCCAGTTTTGGAAGACTCTCGTCAGAACCACCCACAGAACTTGACCTAGTGGATTCGCCACCATGACCATAATGAGGATGAAGAACCTCCATTGATTGCAACTGATCAGATAGCTCTGGTAAGGGGCTAAGATCACCACTTTCAGAACAAGTAAATGGGTGGGTTTCATTGGCAGAGCTTTTTAAGTGATGGAAAGGATTCTGGAGAAGTGAAATATTCTGCGCCTGAACTGAAAAAGATTCTGTGAGGTGGTTTACCTGGTTTGATGCTGTTAAATCAGCCTGGCAATCAATATTAACATTATGAGGTTGTGATGAAAATGACTGGTTTAAATGGTTCATCTGGCTATTCTGATTAACACTGTCCACTTGAGGTTCTAAAGATATGGTTCTTGGCCCTGGACCATAGTTGGCATTGATTTGGCTGCCCTGACTTTGACTAGTGTCATCAATATGGGGCTCAGAATTCTGTTGAGATGAGTCTTCCAAAAGATGTTGCATCCCAGAGTTGGATAATTCTGTTAAAGTTGCGAGGGCATCTGAATTAACATCCGTTGCAAAACTGCAAAATGGAAAGGCAGATGATAGTAATTAAACATTGGCTAAACATAAACAATCTCATATATAACAATACAACTCTATTATTCTATTATTTGTACCTTCCACCTCCCGTTGTAGCGTCCATAGTGTCATCGGCTGATATTGATTCAATCAACTTTTGAAGAGTCAATTCTCCACCTCCAAGAACTTCATTAGGGTGTAAACGTCTCATGTGATCAGCCCTGTGCTTGCGTTCACGGAAAGTCCGATTACAAACAGTACACGAGTAGGGACGATCTGCACTGTGTGTTCTCATGTGCCCATCGTAGTGCACTCGACGAGCAAATTGTTTACCACAAGTTCCACATTTAAATTCTAAGGATTCTGCATGGCATTTCACATGAAGAGCAAGAGTTCGCTTGTTTTTAAACCTGAAAGAATAAATAAACTGAGTAATAAACACCTTATGAAAATGGTAGAGCAATAAAGGTTGACAACATATATTTTTACACACTTTTTACCACAGGTGGGACAAGGAACTTCGGCTGATGTCTCTGGTGGGGGTTGATGAATTACTTGATGAGATCTTAGCATAGATTGAGTAGCAAACCTCCGAGCACAAACATCACAAGAAAATGGTTTGTTCCCAGTGTGAGTAGCTTCATGAGTACGAAGCAAGTCTGAGCGATAAAATCTTTTGCCACATGTTCTGCAAGCTAAGCTTGGTTCCTGATAGATTTTTAAAAAATTAGTAAGGAATATAAGATTGATAGATTTTAAGGCTTATAATGCCTAAAAATTACAAAAATAGGAATACATAAGATAATTGGTACGCATGCCAGAAATATGCTGACCTCAGTGTGGGTTGCAAGATGTATTTTCAGTTTGGTTTTTGCTTTGAAACGTTTTGGGCAGTGATCACAGGCTAAACGAGGCACTTCTTGATGACAGGTAATTTCATGCTCCCGTAAATTTTTCTTTCGGCGAAACTCTTTGAGACATATTGGGCACTTGAACGTGGGGCTGCAAGAAAAAAAATCAGTAGGCAGCCGGATATTTTTAAATGTACACAATTCTAATGCTGAACTCATACTTTGAAGTAAGTGCATGGGGTGACTCTAGCTGAGGAATTGGCTGAGCAGAGGGAAAAGTTGAACTTGCGTCAGGGCAGTCAGAGGTAGGGTTTGGTAGAAGTCTATCAGATTTCGGGTGTCGCTTTCTGGTATGTGCAACTAATGTGCTGCGACATTTAAAGACAGACGAACACTCATCACAAGAGTATTGATTGGTCTGACTGTGTGTCTGTTTAAAGCAAAGATGAATTAGAAGAGATATATTAATAAGTGATAAATATCATCCTGAGTTTATTTCTTACCTCAATATGTGATTGCAATTTATGTTTTGTTGTAAAAGTTTTCGGACACTCTGAACATTGGAAAGGACGTTCAGAAAAAGCTACATGAGTTGCTTCATGAGCCCGTAAAAGGCCTTCATTGGGAAACTCTTTGGGGCATTCTTTGCAATGAAATTGGGCAGTCTCATGCTTTCTCCAATGAAATTTCAATTTTGGCTTGGTTGGGAAACTTTTTGAACATATTTTGCATTGAAATTTGTAAGCACTTGGACCTATAACATTTCCAAAAATTAGAATAAACGACAAAAATTAATTCAACTCAAAATATATTTCTAGTGTACCTCCATGTCGAAGAAGATGAGTGTCTAATACAACTTTTTGAGAAAATCGTTTACTACAAATATTACATGCAAAAGGTTTCTCGCTTTCATCAACATGAGTGAGACTATGTGTTTTCAAAGCTGTTTTAGTGTTGAACAATTTCCCACAAACATCTAGAAAAAGAGAAGCAAGCACATTTATTCATCAATTCGAATTGGAAAGAGCAAAAACAGCTAATAAAATTGTCACTTACTGCATGGGTTTGCTGATTCACAGTTTATATTATGCTGCCTCATTAAATGGGCATCAAGACGAATCTTGCTGGAGAATCCTTTGTCACACAAATTACAAGGAAATGCCTTTTGACCTGTAAGATAAAAAGTATTAAAACATTAACAACCAAAAGAACAGAAAAATATGTTGTAAGAAAAGAAAGATATTGGTATTTCACCTAAATGTTGAACTTTAAAATGCCTTTCAAAATTAACACGAGCAATAAATAATTTGGCACAGACAGGGCATTTCCATTTCCCTCCCTCCTGCTTAACTCCATCAAAAATCTGTAAGCAATCACCAATTTTAGTCATGTTTGAAAATTGCCAACAAGAAAACATAATGTACTTGATTTCAGAATGCTTACATCTAGTTTTTTCTTATTCATATCAACACAGCCCATAGTGTCTCTCGTTCCTAACAAAAATGAGAAACTGTTTTCTACTGAAGTTCCTAACACATCTTTCCCAGTGTCATCTCTTTTCAGACTTGCAGTATCCTTAGCAACTTGATTAGGAAATGCTATCTGCAAATCTCCAAACTCTGTACTGTCTTGAGTCTGGTTAGTTGTCTGAACTGGCGAACTTGGGTCAAAGCTGTCTTCAGTATCACTTAAGACACCCCACTTAAAGCTTGACACATGAGGGTATTTTATTTCATTAACGCCTTGTGCAGTTATATGGGTGTTATGTGAATCATCACTCAGTTCAACAAAACTATTATTCCCAGTCATTTGTGGAAATGTGGATTCACACATAGTGTTTCTTTGTGGGTAATGCATCTTGCTTTGACCGTTTTCTCCGGATGGAAACTGAGATTTATCACTATTACTTTGACAGGATGCATACTGAGATGAATTTATTGCAGTAACCATAGAAAAGGCTGAAGAATGCTGACTTTTAGATGGAATTCCAAAATTTGATTCAGCTGATAACGATGGATGAGAATAATGAGTATTTAGTGACTGTTCAGTAGAAGTCTGAAATGGTACACGAGAAGCATGCAGTCCATGACCTGAATGGTTAGAAGTCTCATATGAAGTGTCACAGCTGAAATGCGCATCTTGAGTTGTTTCACAGCGAGAAGTATACATAGTATCACAATTTGACTCGGTTGGAGGGGAAAAATGTCCTTGAGGTGAGGTAAAACGCTGAGAATCTCTTGTATCATTCGGTTGGGCAAATTCACAACTAGGCTTTGAAGAGAAATCTTGACTTTTATCATGGGAGACATACTGTGTATCATGATTCTGTGATTCAGCAGGTGTTGAAAATTGCTTCAATGATGTATTGCGACTGCAGGATGTAAAATGCATCATTGGGTTTGTTGACCCATCAAAAGCAGATTCACAATTTGACTGAAAATGTGAGCTAACAACCATATGGTTAGGAAGACTGAATGCTGCACTATGTGATGACAGAGAATTATCATGGCCAACTGAAGATGCTGTAATGTCGTAGCAGGAACTATTGTCAGGAACAGCATAGTGACGATTTCGAGAAAGAGCAGTTGCAGTGTTAAACTGAGTTTCATTTAATGGTGAGAATCTTCCAGTAGAGATTTCACATCCTGCATCATTCATGCTCCCATATCGCTGTTGAGATGTCGAACTGAATCCAACATCAAGAGCTGAAGCAGTTTTCATTTGAGCGTATGTTGCGTTTCCACATGTAGATGTGAATGAGCTCTCATGTGCTTTTCCTTCAGAGTTGCATGGAGCATTGACATCAATTGAATCAGTGACAATAGAGGATCTACCTTGAAATCCAAGGACTATGTCTTCGAATCCCTCCTTGCTTCTATGGGATAGTTGGTCATTTAATTGATTCAGAAGATCCTGAAAAAATTACGGGTGTAAGTTTAACTTGTCAAACCAACTGAATGGCAAAGAAAGTCACTCATACTGCATACCTTGGTCTCCTTCAGAAATTTTGAAAAGGATTCAATGTGTCTTTCCTCCACCACCATTGTTGATAAATCTTGCGCAACATTATATGAGAACACATTGGAGGAAAGAATGCCCAAATCCATCATCTACCAAATAAATTCAGGGGATAAGAAATAGCTGAGGCATATATAGTTGCATTTTACTTACAAATTAAACATTGAAAGTTGTGAACATACCATATTGATCACATCACTAAAAGTTGATAGGAATTTGTTCACTCCTAAGAATAAGGTTCCCATTTTCACTGCAAAATATAATCACAGCAGATCAGTTTGTTTTTATTTGTTTTTATTTGAGCATGGTCTGACAGACATTAGACAAATGTTGTGTTGTCTTTTTTTTCCTCTGCTTCCCCAACAAGCACCCCATATATTTTTCATTATTCACCCCTCCTGTTCGTACCATCCTTAAAGTGACACATTCTCCTTGTAAACACTACTGCGAATGGCCATTCACAGACATAGTGAAAAATATTAACGGTTGAAAACCACAATAAGTCATTTTTCCGAAAGAAAAGATAGAAATGTAAAAGAAGAATTAGGTTATATGATGCTTGGTTTCGAACACAACAATGGCAGCACTGTAGACTACGTCATCTTTAGCCAACATATCCTCCCGAAAGCTTTGTTGAGTTTTCTATGAGAAATGAGAAACTTGTAACTTGTTCTTGACCTGTTAACGTCGTCTGCTACCAACACCAACAAAACAGAAAGATAGCTCATGCAGAAAGGGAAACGATACGGTTAGGCCTTTAGACATTTTATCTTTATTTGTTACTTTGGTCATTGAGAAACGATGGCAGATAGTGCAAATACTCTGACAGAAACTCCAGAGAATGACAAGACTCGAGAGACCCAGTCCGACAGAATTAAACTAGCGCATCTGGTCCTGGTGTAGCACAGGCCCTCGAAAAATGATCAGAACAAACTAAAGTATTAATCCATGTTTATTAAAATAAACTATTATTTAAAAAAAATAAAAAACTACCACTCGCACAGCATGTAATTTTTTATTTATTTTTAATATTAAATGCTGAGTTTTGTAACCAACACTGCTGTTTTTAGTTGATATTTAGGATGTTGACGGAGGGGGTTCATACGGTTGGTTTGTGTTTACTAAAGGGAATTAGAAGAAACTTCCATGTAAAATAAATCACCACAAAAACACCCAAAAGACAGCACGTAATATTGTACTTTTTCAAGAGACATTTATTACTTTCCAGTAACAAACAATTTCATTCATTTCCATATAAATTAAGGAGAAAGTAGAAGAGGTGGCCCTCACATCAATTATTTACAGATCAAAATCCAAGCATTACAATACACACAATTCATCTTATAGGAACATCAAACCAAAGGGAGGACTTTCAGTTGATGATCTTCACAATGTAAATAACTTACACCTCATTTACTCAGAAGTCATATAAAATACCAATAAAAACATATCAGGGATATGTTATAAAAGGATTGACCAGAGATAGAAAGTACCAAAGTTTCACAATCCATTAAATAAAACCTGAGAAATTATTCTACGAACAATTTCAGCAGACATGTTTACCAGCTGGTAAAAAATCAAGAAATATTCAACGACAAAATTCATAGCTATGTTGGAATCTTATCAAAAAGTAAAAGAGAACTACTTTCTCAAAATACTTCCAAGTCTCCTTGCTTCTCTGAGGGAAAAGAAGTATTTTGAACCAAAGATTAATCACAAGTGCAGCAATTGCCTTAGTGAATGTTTACTTCTTGGATGAAGTAGATGAATCCTGTAAAACAAAAACAAAATTTTTTTGAAATGTAAATTTTAAAATAATAATTTAATTGGGTAGCAACCAAACCAAAAATTGAACTTACGGAGGGATCACAGTCTGCACAATGCCACGAATACCCTCGAATCTTTGGGGACTTTTTCACAGGAGGGTCAAGGCAATGAAAATGATAGCATTTTTGACATTCATCACATCTTACAAGATTTTCTTTTGAACCAGGACCTTGGCACTGATCACATTGAGTCAAAAGGTCTTCGACTTTAGTTTTTTTCCCTCCTGACTGTCTCTGGGGGCGACTATTTGTGGGATTTGGAATGGTGCCAGTCACAGCACTTGTTACTGAGTTGTTAACAGGTTCAAACTGAGAAACACTTTGTATAGGTGGAAGCAACTGAACCCCCGATACTGCCGGAATGGGATGGTACACATCATCATCACTTGTCATAGCTGATGCAACGTAAGTCTGCACAGTTTGTCCTTCACCACTCGGGGTTATAGTTTTAATCTGAAAGAACTCAGTTATTAAACATACAGAAACTATAACCATAAAGAGAAATACTGACAAACAGCCAGTTTTAATTGGCATACCTTTATTTTGGGAACATGAGGCTGAGGATGAGGAGGTGTACCTTCTACTTGCCAATTTTCATGATCAAAGCTTTTCTTCTTTCTTTTTCTCTTACGTTCAACACTGATACCATCTGGACCAAGTTCAGGTGAATGACGTTTTTCTTTCCTCCTCTTCTTTGCTGCCTTTACTTTACCATCACTGTTACTTCCCACAGCAGTTTCTACATCAGCATCATTGCCCCTGTCTTAAAAGATAATAGATAATAAATAAATATAAAATAAATATATTCATAAAGAAATTATTTGTTTTGCTTTGCTTTTTCTATTAATGAATAGTTTTATGGCTAGAGAAGTAAATTAAAATGTACATACCGATTACACCAATAGATGCACTAGATGAGTTTAGAGTAGTGTCAATAATAGAAGCTTCACCATCAGATTTGACTGACAGCGGCTGAAAATTGAAAAAAGTTAAATAAAATAGAATGTGTTTCAACTGACCAGTATTAGATTCCAGATATTGCATTGTACTCTACCAAAGAACTTTTATCAGACTTCCGCCTTAACTTCCTTGGGGCTTCAGGATCCAAGCAAGGGACATCAGATCCTGACGACTCTTTATCACATTCAGAGCATTGCCTGTAGGTAGCAATAAATTCAAAGAAAAAATTACAAAAACTAAATTAAAAAAAGTAACTGCACAAAGTGATTATACAACAGCTCATGTATACCGGCAAAGTCCCAATCATATCATTAAGAAAGGACTGAACAGGTGTAGATACATAAAAATGTTCTCAAATTATTAAAACAACATACCATCCAAATAGCTTTGTCTTCTTGGGCATTCTTGTGAGAGGTGGATTTAGACAACCTAAATGATAATACTGTTTGCAATTATCACAATGAGCTAAGAGATGAGGATCATTGCTCTGATGGCATTTTCCACAAGGCCCCAATACTGCAGCAGGTGTTGAGGAACTGGAAACACCAGACCCAGTAGATATTTCAGCTCCTCCTGAGACATTAACAGCCTTTGAATTTGCTGTTATGGTAAGGGCGGAGGGGGGCCCTTGTTCTCCAGGCATAGGAAATGCTTTTAAGGCTGCAGCAGTTGGGACACCTAGACAATTTTTGAAATTAGTGGGGAGTAAAAACATTGTAACAAGGCATTTAGAAAGCTTAATATTTGAAAAAATTCCATACCTTGGGGAAAATGATTCATGGTGGAATGAGGTTTGCCAATAGACTCTATGGCAGGTATATTCTTTTTAGGACAAATTGTTTGAATAATCCCATGGAGCATTTTAATCTTTGCTTTCAAAGCTTTGTTCTTTTCATCTTCAATGGACTTTACATTGATCAACTTTAAAAAAAAGGGAAATGATATTTTAAGTCTGTAGATGTGATAAAGCCTGCAATATGTAATATGATCTTACGTTCGTGATAAATACCTGTTCATATTTTTCTCCACTAGCTTTCTGTTCATTGAGAAGACGCGCATTATCTTCAACAAAATCTTGCAGTTGCTTCTTCATTTTTGTAATCCTTCCAACTCGATCCAGAAAGTAGGCAATAAATTCAACACTAGAGTAGAACACATATACTTTAGTTCACAAACTGAGAACAACAATGCATAATTTTGTAAACCCGCAAATTTACCTAAAAGATGCTGGTATATGCCATTTACGGTTAACATCTTTTAAAGATGCTATCTGTGTCTCCTGAATTTCCATGGCTTGAGTATTTAACCCAGCAAGCTCACCTTTGCGCCATAACAAACGGCAAGCGGTTGCAGATGTTATCAATGCGCGAGGCATTTTTTGGGATGGTGGAACTGTAAGTTATTTTGAGTAATTATCAGAGCAACTGGTAATTTTGAGCTCAATGATTGTTAAGGACTTACTGAAGGCATTGGAAACAGCAGTGCGATGATCTAGAAAGTGACTACAAGCTTTCCGGAATTTTCTTTGAATTCTTTCCAATTCGTTTTTGTCCTTGCTTTCTTGTTCCTGATTTCTCTCTTTCAAACGCTCTTGCAAAAGAATGAAATTTTGACGTCGACGTCTACAAAATAAATTGGAGCAGTGGTGAGCAAAACAGTTAAGGACTAAGATAGCTCAATGGATGAATGTATCTTACTTAATTTGAGTTTTATCAGAGTGAAGTTTGCAATGGGCATAAAACTTATCTACAGTTTCAGTTTCTTCTGGATGTGCCTCTTGGAGTAGCCCCATTTTCTGAGCACTGATAAAATATGTAAGTATATCTGTTAGTCACATGAAGATGAAGATTGAATGGGGGTAGATATATGAATATGATCTCACCATGAGGCATGGAAATAAGTGCGACACATGCCAGCGTCACACTCAATACAAACACCAGTCCTTGCGAGACGCTCATCTTCACACAAAGTACACAGCTTGGCTCCATACTTAGCATAAGGCATTTTGAACAAAGAAAGCTTTTCACCATCAGATGGGAACAGACCAGGGATATATAAAGCACACACTAGGTGCACCCACCGCCCTACATCTGTTTCTTTGAAAATGCCACCTAAAGACAAAAGGAATTAAGTTTTATTATCAATAAAACTGGTGTGAGCCTAAAATGTCAAAGTAGGAAGAATACTACAAATATTACCTGAGTTTGGACATAGCTCACAAGGAGGGTCCTTAACTCCAGCTCGACATGCATCACAGAACCATGGTAAATCAGGGTTGGAGGAATCTACACTAGCCAGGCTGTCACTATCAGACATACCATAACACTCTGTAATCAATGAAAAACATTAAGAATAATAACAAATAAAATTTTGTAGATATAAATACTATATTTACTCAAGAAGAACTTACTTTCATGAACAGTAACTCCACAACTGTCACACTCAACTAATTCATCAAAGTCATCATTGCTGTCACCAAGACAACCCCAACAACGCTTTTGTATTTTCTTCTTGACCTACATAAAAAGGAAAGTAAAGAAAGGAAATAAAATAATGTTGGTTACACATCAAAACACAATTGTCAATTTTTATGGCAATTACTAGGACTACCTTTTTGATGATTTCAGAGTTTAGTCCATCTCCAGAATTTATTCGTTGCTGCAGTTCCTCAGCTGTTATGACAGAAGACTTGGAATTTTCCCCTTCATCCACATCACTATCATCCTCACTATCATCATCATCTTCATCGTCTCCATCACTATCATCACTTCCACTACCTACAAGAAACAAGTTAAATTCAATCAAAACAAGAACAGAAATATAAGAATATCATGCATGGAAAAAGTAAAAGGCTAAATGTAACCATAATAGAAACATCATTTAAGTGCATTCTTCAAACATTACCTTGTTTGCTCCCTTCATCATTGGAATCTAAAGAGTCATCTGAACCATCTTTGTGTTCTTCAGGGTTAAAATCACTGTCATCAGAGCTCTCTAAATCTAAATCAAACAGTGGTTGTTCAACTGGTTTGACTTTACGTTTATTAGGGTCCCTTTCACCTGCAAAAATAGAAACTGGTGCAAAGGGCACCAAAGAAACAATGATTGACAAGAGTAAAAAGAAAGTCATAACGTTCTTCATGGTAGAATGGAATAAGAAGATATGACAGTTGATTAAAATTGATGGATATGATGTTCTACATGGTAGGTACATGTATGTGTGAAAACATGAAATTGACAGCAACAATTAACACTAATGATACTAGGAGCTTGGGATTTCAAGTAGACACGGTGAACCACTTCAACATAATATTTTAGTTACATGGAAATTACTACAAGATTTAATGTTGGAGAGGAAATAACAGATCACAAAATCCACGAGTCTTAACAGAGATCATGGGAAAATCGCCTCGCATTAGCATGATTTGCCGGGGCATGGGGCGTCCGGCCGCACTAAGATGCCACCGGTATAAACAATAAAGCACGAGTGCAAAGTACTTACGCCAGCTCATTTTGAACGTGGAAGCCCGCCGCTGGTCCTTAGGCCACCACTTGAGTCCCTCGAAAGGTAAATTTCACAAAAAAATCAAGGAGAAATGGATGTCGTTGATTTTTGTAAACTTCCATCCCATCCCGTATTCCGCCTTGAAGAAATTGCGGTTAGGGAAGGGAAGCTTTGAGCTGGCTTCGCATGTGACCAGTCCCGTTAGCAGAGTTCACGTTAGTCACTGGCCGAAGGGGTCGTTTTTCTGATTTGTTACAAGCTTCTGAGTTGTGAGAAAACAAATATGGCAGCGATTGCTTGAGCTTGAACGGAACCGAGACTTACCATTCCAGAGAATTGTTCGCCAAAGTAATTTGAGAAGTGTTGTGTGCGTGGCTAAGGAAAAAACCTATAACTCACAATATAATTTATTTTAGCCTTCGTAGTCTGGCCATTCTCTTCTACATATTCCATAACCTCACTTCTCTATTCCTCAATTGACGTCTGCTGTCACGATTTGACTCTTGCTAAAAAAACAAAGTGTACCGAAGGAACTATGGGTTCGGAGCAAAGTACTTCTGCAGGGACAGGACAGTGGCCTCAACGTTCGGTCTCTGCAGCATCAGATAGCAGAGTCAATCAATTTCGTCGAGGTAAATCCTTGGCTGAAAGATCGGAAAATTCCACTGAGGAACCCGAAGGAGACTCTCCAGGAAATCGTCCTGGTAACACATCTCCAGGACCAAGCATTTGTTCTGATTCAGATTTACCATACATATCATACACTGTCAGTCGTCCTATAGGAGGTAAACATCTAATCGATTTGTTAATAAATAGTGTGTGCCCACATCATTATCATGATTGGTCTCTGAACAGATTCTCCAAAATTATCTAACAAGCAACAACTCCATCGAGGAAGATCACTTGGAGGCGCCATCCCAAGTCTACACCTGCAGTCTACTGGCAATGCAAGCGCCAATAAAAATAGGCATTCAACAGGCGGGATAATATCTGGGAATGCCCAGAAGTGGAGTCAGCAAACACAAAGACCACATAGTATTGTTGTTGTGAAAGCAGCAGCAGACCCTGTTACTCTGGAGAAAGATCCAGACCTTGTCAGACTACAGGTAAAAAACAAGAGAAGAAGAGGTGGTGTCATTCACAGAATCAATATTGCCTGGCTAATTCTGATTATTTTCATCAACAGAATGTTCCTATGTTCCTGCCAATCATGCGTGGCACTCTCAACCTTCCAGCAGCAAGAGATCCTGAAGTATTGGAGAGGCTTGACCCAAGTGGAACACTGAACTTGTGTTTGCGATACCAGCAACATCTTGCCCTGTGTGCTAATTCAGTAGCAGCAGATCAGAATCAAGCAATTGCCAAAATGAGAGAGGTAGAAATTTCTTTCAGCTACCGACAAATCTAGTATCACTCTTCATAAATAGCTTTATCACCTTCAAAGTTGTACTTTGTTTACAGATCGACTTTGAAACCCAGCGTATGGTGACCTCTCTTACTGAACGTCAGAAAAAGTTTTCAAAGTTTGTAGAGAAGTTGCAGAAAGTCAGAGAACTTTCCAACCAGCTTAATAAATGTCATGTTTTACTGAATCAGACTTTAGAAAATATAGAGACCTTGAACAATACCTTACCTATTGAAGAAAGACTAGAACCATTTGTTTGGACTACTGGATGACACATACTTGGTGAGGAGCAGAAACATGACATTGAAGACACATCTGAAGAAATTGATTTGAAGTAAATTGATCCATCTAACTCTGCTTGTGCCTGCTACTCGTCTCTATAAAAATCTGTGATACTGAAGTTGACACATTCACATGTGAAAAACTATATTGTTATGCAAAATTTAGAAACAAAGTTTTGTGTGTACATTTTACAATTTATAATCACTACTTGTACTCTACTGCTTCTGATAATTTAATTTCTTCAAGATTATACCGATGAATTCACCTATCTAGTCAATAGAGTAGAGAAGTTATATAATAAATTAAATTTACAATTTTAATCATCCAGAAGTTTTAATTATCTTTACTCTGACACATCTTGCTTCCACAAGAATTCTTTCTTATATGCTGGTCCTGATGAGCAGCTGCGTTCACAAGTATAGACAACCAAAATGCCCCAGTCTATACTTTGGTCTAAATTATCAATGGACAAATGGTTTAAAAGTTGTGGCAAAATCTGCAAAGACAATAATTAAATATTTCTACTGAAAAGTAAACATTGCTTTTTTTCAAAAGACATTTATATAGGAGTTGCGTACCTGAAATTCAAATATACGTTTTGCACCACAATAAGGGCAAGGTGGAACAACACCTTCAGTTGGAATGTGATGTTCAGACAACAAAAGTGGATTCCCTCCTCTCTGATACCGTAAAACTTGACCAGGATTTTGTGCAATCCTCACCTTGAAAGCATTAAAAGCTTTATCCTCGACACTTGCAGCCATACTAATAAGGTCTGCATTGACAGATTCATCATCTAAGACAAAATCAATAGGGAAATTAGTTAGACTTTTTGTGGATTTGTTTATGTAATAGTTGGGAGGAGGCTGCAAGCAAATTAGTATA